TTTAAAAAAAATACATTTTTATTGATTTCAGTGAGGAAGGGAGAGGGAGATAGAGATGAGGGAGAATCATTGATTGGCTGCCTCCTGCCTGCCCCTTACTGAGGATTGAGCTGGCAATTCAAACATGTACCCTGACTAGGAATCAAATCATGACCTCCTGGTTCATAGTTCGGCACTCAACCACTGAGCCACACTGGCTGTTCAGAATTTTATATCAAGTTTAAATGGAACATACCTATTACCTGTATGCTTTTACACATAAACACAAACTTTCTGTGGATAAAGATCTTCAGAGTTGGATAAAGCCTTACATATTGCATCGGGCAATTCTCTCTTTCAGTAAAGGCATAGAAGGTTCAGAGGCGGGGAGATAGCTGATTAAGGGCCAACTCGGGCCAAGACATAGGCCTGTTCATTGTTCTTTCTAGCACACACACAGTGCCTCCTTTAGTCACTTCATGACATTCATAAAATTCAGTGTATTAACTTATTAAATCTGTTTTTATCTTACTGTCAAATTCTTTTTTTTTAACCATGTCTTAAAAATTAACATGGTATCTGCTTAGCCATCTAAGATTTCTTAAACATTTATTCTGTTTCTGCTTTAAGGGAAATATTCTATTTTTCTTAAATTTGCAAAAATTCATTGTAGTCTTCACTCTGACACATTTTTAAAATAGTTTGTAATCAAAGTTTGGTTGTACAAACACATATACTTAAATTTGCACGAAAAAGTCATACTTAACAGTATGTGGCCAGAGGGGGCCGGGGGGAGGCGGGTAGGGGCACAAATAGTTACAGTAGTAGTTTTCAAGGTATGTGCCCATAAAGGTCTATATTTTAGCCCAGATTCAGACACCTTGCTTAGATCTCTAATAATCCGGTGAAGCATTACCCTATGCCACCGGGGAGTAATATGGGCCATCCATATGATTAGGTACGGAATCTGCAATGAAATTTCTGAGCTAGGAAATACCTTAACGTGGATGATACAGAAGACCATTCTGAGGATTTTATTATAGATAACACTGTCTTTTGAAGACACTACTCACTATTCAGACATAACAGTGAGGTAAAAACTATTTTACCTATTAAATAAAACTATTATCACCTCTTCTGTGTTGAGTTTTGATTTTGCATCATTAGTAGGGCTCGAAACTTGAAAAAAGAAGTTTGCTGAGATGCCAAAGTCAATTAAGTGCATTTGTTAAAAGTCCCATCGGGAAATCTGTTCCCTTCATCCAGCGTTCTGGCACCAGCATCTGTTT